CTCCTCGGGCTCACAGCTGTGCCACAGAGCCCATCCTGGGGCATTAAAGGACTAAGAAGAGCAACTTTGGGTAGGTGCTCCTTCCCCTCCCTGTTTTAAGTAGCTTTAGAGTGCAGCAAGTGGCTCATGTCAAAACCAGAAGCCCTGTTTGAAGTCCTGAAAATGTTTTAGTGTCTTTCAAACATAAAACCTTTGAATGACAGTAAGAGGCTGGCACAATGTAATTATTGATCTCACACTGCACATAGTTTTTTTTTTTTTTGCCTGTTTTGAAAATAACTCATCACAGAGGCCATCCTTACCCCACCCCCATGTTATTCTAGGACGTAAGTCATAGAAGGTGGAAAAATCCCCCTGTGCCTGCCTGTATTAGTCAGTTTCTGTTGCTTATAACAAAATACCTGAAGCTGGGTGATTTATGAAAAAACAAAATGTATTGCTTACAGTTTCTGAGGCTGGGAAGTCCAAAGCCCATCTGATGGTGGTAACAGAGAGAGCAGAGAGAGACAGACTCTCCTCTCCTTTTAAAGCCCTCAGAACCACACCCCTGACCACCATTATTAATCGATTCTCTACTGCAGGGTCCTACAATCTAATCATCTCTTCAAGGCCCCACCTTTCAATTACCATAATAGGATCTCCCACCTGTTAACAATCACAGCGGGGGGGCCAAGTTTCTAATACGGAAAACATGGGGGACACAATTCAAGCTTCAGTGAGTTTTGGAGGACATAATTCAATCCACGACACTGCCCTTTGTTTTTCCTGCTGGAGGATAGTTGCAGGCAGGGAGGAGCCCCATTGGACACTAGAGCTGCTGCACTGATACTTCTAGAAGGAGCTTTCCTAGGTGAATCATACAAAACAAGCTTGTCCTGCAAGGTTTTCAAGCCCTTCTTCCTCAACCCACTAAGATTAACATAAACCAGTAGGAATGCGGTTTGTAAGCAAAAGAAACTATGTTACAATATTAATATGACACTATAGTTGGACTACTGGAGCTACCTTTTTAAGAAATTAAATATATATATATACACACACACACACACACACCAAGAAGGTGTAGAGGTCCAGAAATCACTTTATGTGTCACCATCTTGGAAGTCAAAAATTTTCTCTCTAAAAGTTGTACGTGCAACCAGGAAATGTTTGTAAATACCACCAAGTGTTCCCACAATAAGTACTTTATTAGGCATTGATTAGGGGAATCAAATATGTCCAAAATATTATCAATCATTATAAATTAATGACTAAAAATAAAGTGTGCAAGCAGACCATCAGACTTCTCAAGGAAGATGTTCAAAAATCTTGCAAGAATTCTATAAACAAAGCTATGATTTAGTTCACAGTAAGAATGTAATCCAAGTAATTACCAATAACTTTCTTGCATTGTGAGTAATTTTTCCCTGCATTGCCCAGTTAATGTTGCATATATAACTCATATCATGTGTTAGATGGGAATGACAATCCCCAGATCTGTGAAATATAAAATGGGAGAGCACAGCATTTTAATGAGTGGTTCTGCTGCAGAGCATACTACAATGAACTCCAGAAAGCACACATTTTCCAAAAATATTCAGGGAGAAAGTAAGAATACAGGAAAGTCTGTGTAATAACCAATTATCCAGAAAAGGAAGTGAAGTATTTCACATCTGTGAAACTTCATGTATATAATTTAACTCTTTGCAACCTGCTGAATCTTAAAGTGGAATGTCATAATTAGAATAATAAAAGGTTGTACCTACACACAAATTCATGCACATGTATACCCTGACTTTTGTTCACAAAAAAATTTATTGCATTAAAAATATGAAAACCTGCCATTGCTCCTTAAATTAAAATCTGGGAAAATTTAAGACTGGAGTATTTCTATTACTAACTGCTTGGTGACTAAATTTTCCCATGTGTCTAATGCTTAGATGAACTTGAACTGTTTTCTCCATGTGGCTTTCAGAGCTCAAATCAAACAGCAGCTCCTCAAAGAAGTCTTCTGTGCCCTCCCCTCCTGAGTCTATGGTTCACCCCTTCCCAGCTACGAGAGCTCAGGGCACACTAGGCTTCTCTTTCATTACATTTCTTAAACTGTAATTAAGTAATTATTTGTGTAAGTATATAATGAGTTGACATCAGTCTTCCCCTACCAGTATGAATGTCTTGTGAGGAAAGTGTCCATGTTCTGTGCCTTAAAAAGTGTAAGCGGTAAGTAAATATACATTGAATGAATAAATTACAGTCACCGCTGCTGTTACCTTAATCAAGAGCTATCACTGAGTAAGCCTGGAAGAATTAAGTATTTCTTAATAAAGCTCTGCAAAAACAATTCCGCTTTCATCCTGAATCACTGGAGCCTATGACACTCTCTAAGGTGGCATCGGACATTCCCCTCTTTGCAAACATTTAGAAACCAATGAGAACATTCTCTAAGCCCCCAAATCCTTTCTTTGTATATACCTACCAGGAAAAGTTAAAATCATTTGATATTAATTATTAACACTCTTCACAGGGCAAAGGGAAACAACTAATACTAACTAAAGTGATTTTCAATGGGATACATAGAGTGTAATATAAATACCATAAAACAAAACAATTTGAGACCACCCTGTGACATTTTCACTGTGATAATGTAACTGGCATTTCAATCATATTTGCTTTTAGTGCTTCGTTTTTTTGGTGGGGGGTGAGACATCATGCAAATATTTCCATCATTCATGAAATGTATTCCTTGTCAAGATAAGTTATGCTGTTACTTAAGCTGTAGGATATGAAAAACATGACCGTATGGTTTGTGACAATGGACCTATATGGGGCTCCATTAGTTGAGCTACAGTGTCTGCAAGGCATGGAGAGCCTTCAAAGGCACCTCACGGAGCAGACGTTTATGTGCAAAGGCAGAAAGGAGCACAGGATTTGGCCTCCCTACGGGCAGGCAGGGACGGCAGAGGAGGTGGCCCCGAGGGTGGGCGAGCCTCGCATGCCCAGGATGGATGGCGGGCACTCCCTCCACTGCCTAATGAGGGACCACCATGAACAGGAGTCATCATTCCACGGCTCTGCCACTCCCGGCCACTGCCTTTCCTTTTCACTCTGTCTACTCCAAATATCTTTTCCCCATTGCACGGTTTTTTTCTTCCTCCTACTTTATGCTCCTCACAGCCTCTCCTGACTTCTTTTTCTTCATCTTTTAGTTTGTAATAATACAATCAGTTAACCAACTTGCTCCTACACTGAACTCAGGCCTCTTCATCAAGGTTTGGGCAGGTGCACTCACCATCATCCTTGTGGAGCAAAGTTCTCGTGCAGCTCTCTTGGGTCACTTCAGTCCAGTCAGCTGTGACCAGAGAAGCAAGATCATGTGGGACAAAACATGATGATCCGCATATCACAAACATTAATTTGGGCCACATGGCCTTGGACAGCAACCTCTGGAAAAAGGTAAGAAGTGTGGCTATCTTGAGTCAAGGGTCAGCAATCTGATAACTAAATTTGGGATGCAGGAAAGTTCCCTATTATCTCAAGTGGAATAACAGGAGTTCAGATTTTTGCTCATTTCTCTGTTTTAGTTTACTATGCTCTTGTACGTTTGCTACTCAAAAAAAGAAAAGGAGGGGTGGAGGGATTGCAAAGATCAAAATGCTGTGGTATAAACACAAAATCAGCAACTGGGCCCTGGGTTCTACTATTGACTTTTAACACTTTAAGTTAATTTTCTTTCTATTTTTTTCATCAAAGCTTTGCTGTTCCCAAACACAAATATAATAGACAAAGGCCTGAGAATTTTACTTCGAACTACAGAGATTTGAAGTTCACATTTGGACTATATCCAGTTTTCTGCCATCACAAACATCTCATTCAATTCCTTTCTGTAGGAGAAGCAGATTACATAAAGAAAGGAACAAAACTTTCCTTTTATCTGCTCTTTAATTCATTATGTCTGAGTATTTCTATAGGAAGTTATTTGGGTAGGCTTCTGGTGGTCACCTATGTCTCAATTACTTATAAAACTAACTTCGCATATTTTTAAGTTAGGATAGTAAACTTATGAGCATAGTATATTCTAAACCTGAATTATTTTAGGTCAGAAAAAAATCTTCCTAAGTTATTCATTTCCTCTGTGGCCTGGGTTCCAAAGAGTAAATTTATAATCATGAAATAAATGATGATTCTCCCTTGGAAGGGAAAAAAAAATAGTAAATTCTTCAAATAAATAACTGTGCTGTTTTGTAATTTCAAAAATCATAAGTATGTTTGATTAATAATACCATAAAAATATTTATTTCATATTTTTGGAATATAAAAAGCAGAAGATTCAAGATTTGGAGGAAGTGTTTATTCTATGAACAGATGTCACCTGCAAAGTTCATCAGTTTACAATATTAAATGTGCCATCTGCAAAATTTATCAGTTTACAATTAGGAAGAATGATGCGACAAAGAGGAACTTTTACAAAATAACATAATAAGGCCAAGATCCAAATCTCAAGAGATTTACTTGAGAGCAAAAATAGGGACTGGTTCACTTTTTCAAGTATGGCTAAATAACGGGAAAAAGCAATTATGCTCTAAGATAAATGAGCCATTCTTATCTGAGAAATCAGAATATCTTCCCATTTCATGTACTCAATTTGTGCATTTTCTACTCTTTGCTCTAAGCTGTTTCTTTCATCCTGTGAATATAAGAAAAATTAGAATTTTACTATTGAGGACATGGAAGGAATTTAATCTTGAAAGAAGTTAACTACGATGATGCATTATTATAGTACTTTGATATACTGAGATTGAAAAAGCATAATATTGTTATCACTTAAAACTAAGTTTATCTTGGGGAGGAAAACACATTTTGAATGATTCACTAATGTAAATGCGCTGAAGCCAGCACACGCCTTTGATGCAATCTGATGTGAGTTGTCAGTGACAAACCTATTAATACCCAGGGTATTACCACGGTGTATAACCTGCTCCAAATGGCCCATGCTCCAAGAAACCACGGTGAGAGTCAAGAAGTAGAACCATTTTGTTATATCCTGCATTTATTTAAGCAAACCAAATGTGTAGAGATAGGAAATTAATGCATTATCATGTTTTACAAATACAGAAAAAAAGACACAGAATATTAAGACCCTGAAGAGAGTGCATCTGAGAACACGGTTCTATCATAAGAGACCACTGCAAGGACCACATTAAAGCCACGTCTGACACACCACTCATTCTTGTTCTGACATCGTTCCAGTAGTTTCAATAGATAAATCAGCAATTTGCTTTTAAACGAATACTAATACTAATGATTATGGTAGCTTTGAAGGGTTTGTGAGTGACTATACATACGTGATACTAGGCTTAATGTGTTATTTCAATGCTGTTGTACATTATGCAGGGGGAACAATGTCATTACACATTTACTGTGACATCCACTAAAATGTGAACTAGTTTGCATAGGTTAGTCCTTTGGACAGCAAGATGTTGCTCTAGTCTACCAAGGCTTAAAGATTCACAGTGTAGAGGAAAAAAAAAAAACATAAATTAAAGCATTTCTACTAAAATATATTTTAATAGCTGGTGTTAACAACTTGCATAACAAAAGCCAAATTATATTAATAACATCGTATCAATCTGTAAGCCCCTTTATTCGAAAAACATTGTTTCCTTTGAAACTGTTACACTCTCAAAGTTAGTACAGACTTGCAAATTAATCATCTACCACAATTCTACATTTTTTGAAGCAAACAGAAGCCAAACTGCACAATGGTTCAATTTGCATTTTTATCACAGGTCAAAGACCAATAGTTCCACATCATGCCTGTAACACACTTGGTGCTGCTTCCTAAATGCTCAGCAATTCATTGTATGGACACTGAAGAATGGGACTATGATGTGTTTTTCTCTTTTCCTTTGAAGTAAATCATTCTTAGCAACTAGATTACGAAGAAGTATATACTATGCAAACTGGATACCATATAGCAAAAACAAAAAGTATATGGAATTGACATGAATATACTGAAGTAATATGGAAGACTGGGGGGGGGGGGAATTGCCTGGGATCCTTCCAGGCTTCAGGATTCCAGTAGTCTAAGCATCATGGAATAATGACCACAGAAGCATCATACAATGTCTTGACTTTTTCAACCATCAGTAGCTGACAGTTGCCTGGAAAGGGTCCTAAAGGCATGGACCACTTCAGGAAGAGACTTGCATTTTAGCTTCCTTAAGTTAGTTTATGTAGCTTCTTACTTAACTAAAGCTTTCTCTCCTCCCTGTCACATTACCCAAAGCAACCACAATCTAGCCATTTTTGGATTATCAGAAGCAAATGGCTAAGGTATAATTAACTTGGGAAGTGAAGTTCATCTTGAGCAGTGAGTTCAGCCTCATAACGTAATTATTCTATCTTACAATAGGTATTTTAGATCCCACACCTAAAGTTGATGTTTATACATCTCAACTATATATAAATCCACAAGGAACCTATCAGAAGTAGATGGAAGTCAATATTTTCTAAAATTCTAGACCTTTAGAGGTAAAATATAATCAGCTACCACCTTTAATATCTGTCAGGAGCATCCCATTTCCTCACCACAAAAATACCAATTATGTATAATAAAATATTACTACAGAATAGGCAGAAGCTTGCTTGCTTGGTTTTCTTTCCAAAAACATAATGGATAAATAAGGGTAATCAAAAAGGCACCTATTTTTGTATATATCTGTATTATAATTTTGGTATAAACTATATCCACTTTACATAGGGATGTGTTATTAAAGATCACACACATTTTCTTTATCTTTTCATTAAAAACATTCTACTAGAGATGGATGAACCTGAAAACGAGGGGCACCGCTTGACCTTCCACTATCTCTTTCAGAAAAGTCTCCTTCCTAATTCCCAAAGTGCTGTAAAGCTCATCACAGAGAGGATAAAGCAAGCAAGACTGTGGTGAAACTGGCAAAACCTCATCCTGATCGATTTCAAGCAATGTACCTAGTGGCCACAGAAGGGCTGGTCCAATCTCACCCATATTCATCCAAGGTGCTTGTGGAAATTGTGCTTACAGATTCCAGTGTGGTCTATGGAGTTTGCGGAGGCCTGGCAGACACAGGGCCTCCATGGAGATCTGATCACCAGATAAATATTTCTAACAGGGCTACCCTGTGGATGTGTAAACAATGACAAGAGACATGAAGGATTCATTTTGACATAGAAAGCTTTCTAGAGAACAAGAATTAGTAAAAACATTTACCACAAAACTTAACAACAAAAGCAGTAATATTCTGTTGCTACGCTTTTCTCAAGAGAGAGATGACCCACACACAATTTTGTTTTCAGAACCTTTTAAAAGTGTATCAAACTGTGCCTTGTGCTTTTTTCAAGCTTGAGAACACAGATTTAGAAAAGCAGGTGCATGCTCTCTGGGCTTGGGCATTTACAGTCTACTTGAACTTGACTCTCAAGACTTGTTTTTAAACTTTCTTTAGCTGTCAGCATTACATATGAGATAACTGTTGCCAAACTGAAGGCGGGCGGGGAGGAGGCCTGTGAAAAACGGAAAAGTGGTTCGAGAATGTGGTTTTTAAAATGGATGCTGTAAAAACAGCACTTTGGTATTATACACATATGTTTTCTGTATTTCTGCTGAGATGCTTATTATCCTGACAAACTTTAGTAATAATGCCATCACTATCAAATTATAACCTTGAGAGCATGCAATGTCTTGTTCTGCCTTAGTCTTTATTGTAAAAATAATAGCCCTCTAGTTAAATTCTGGTCCGATCTTAATTCCTAAAGGCTTGAAGCAGAAACATCTTGCAATGCAACCGTTATGTGAAGCTTAACATTTTAGGAGACTCATTCCCCAAGTATGTATTGACTTTTACATTCATGAATCTGATTTTGAAATCAGTGGATGAGAAAAACATGAAACATCAAGCTGCTCCTTTATGGTAACTTTCCTGATTACAAACATTATTTCAAGTCAGTTTCCACGGTACTTCCTATAAATGTGCTATTTATCAAAAACTGTACCTGTCCTACATTTAGTCTGAAAATTTAATCAACTACTCTTTTTTTATAATCACAACAAATGGCCTACTTCGGTGAAATGTAAATACATACTTGATATATTAAAATTGAGCAGGCTTATTGCCCTTGGTTTGAATGCACAGGATTTTGCAAAAATATTCCAAGTTCAGTCTGTCTTTGTAGGTTTGTATACAAGACATCGAAACAGACATGGGGTTTAATCAACTTAATCACAACTGGCCATTTCCTTGGGAGAAAATCAGTCAAGCTAGTTATTTGGTAATCTATAAAACCCCCTCCAAAAAAAATCTCTAGTTATTTGCCTGAATTTTTATCTTTTCAATTTTACATTCGTGTCATATAGATACAGTTTTAGTGTAATAAAGTATATTTGCTTTTTTAGTCTAATAAAGTGAAACTACAGATTTTCAAAAGTATGTGCTAACTTTTCAAAGGTGTAAATAAATCAGCTTTGTCCTTGGGACTAGTAAACATTTCAATAAAAGATGCTTTACAGGATGTTCTGTTAATTGCCTTGAATATAGCATACAAGGTACATATCTCCAAAACCCATTCATTTTATTACATTTTTGTAACTTTGCTTTTTCAGTATCATCACAACTATAGAGTCAGACCCTACATGAATGCGACCCTATTGCAGGTCCCAATAAAGGGCACAATCAGAAAAACACAGAGTTGCCGATGGATGTCAATCTTGGTGACCTTGACTGCAGACTGCAGGTGAAATTTCAAGACCCACCAGCAAGGGCTGCACTCATAGCTGCGAATTTAGCTAAAACCTGTAAAGTGACTCATGTGAGAATCAAAACCTGACAACAGTTTCTTTCTTAGTGAAAAGGCTGTTGGGCCTACACTGAAAATCTCTGACAATGTTCTCATCTCATCCCTGAAGGTGATTTAGAAAATAAAAACCAGAAAGTGGAAAGGATGTCTTTTGGTTAGCCAGTTTCATGGTTAGATCTCCATTCTAGAATCTGAATACCATTTTCCAAAATAAAAAACCAGATCATCTCTATGTGGAATTGATATCTTTGCTTGCTGGGTTCCCTGCACCCCCCTCCCCCCCAGCAGACTCCATAGTCCACTTTTTCACTGGCTTCTGTTAAATTTTCTTCACTTTTAAATCAATGGTGTCATTAGGCTAATGAAAGCTGTTCAGTAAACACCTAAATCACTTACTGACTATAGTATACATTGTATTTCCTAAGGTGTAAATCCTTCAAAACTATAGTGCAATGATGCAGGGAAATCTCAAGCAACTTTTCAAAATATGTTTTTCTGATGAGCTGGCAGCTAGAGAAAAAGGGGGCTTTTAGATATCAGCCACACTTTTTGCTTTAATAACAGGAATGGGCAGTGCAGCTGCCTATGTTACAGAAGCTTGAACCTACATGACATGCAACAGGGTAAAAACTACTAGGGAAATAATATAGATGATGTTAACATTTGTCCTTTGCAGAGTAGCTGTGAAGTTACTTATTTGGTCCTGACATTCTGTGGACCTGAGCAGATACTTGGGTCCATAGAATGTAAACAGAGAGTAGGATATGACTTGGTACAAATGAGAAATAAATAGACCCCTGTTGGCCCAGGGAACAAGGAAATTTCTCTGTTCAGTAGACGTTTCTAAGTCCCTAAAGCCACCAGTCAATATAATTCTAACCAGACTGTCATTCTGCCATTGTTTACATTATATTAGGCAATTTTCACATGAATTGGAAGTTGCCTAATGACTCAAAAGCTAAACAATTTTTAAATTATTGGCTATGTTACTGAGTTAAGAGAATTGGCTTTTGGTGATTCCAAAGTGACAGCTAAGAAGTTTCACATACTCGTTACGTTTAAGGGACAATCAACATCTCTATTAAAGTCTACAAAAATACATTTCCCAGAAGGGTTCAATAGCCAATCAAAGGAATCCACAAACACAATTAGCAGCACCAGGTCTCCAGAAGTAATGATTTTGTTCATAGGAATTGCTGAAAATGCTGCCGTTTTCAGCTTAGAAGCTATCCCTTCTCCTGGTACCTGTGTGTCTAATTGTCAAAGGAAGGATACATTATTGTAAAATAACTGCCAAGTGGTCTTAAAAGTATCTTCTACCTTTTAAAAAGATTAGGTTTAGAATACATAGAATAAAGCTCAAAGGGCAAGGAGAAATCATTAATTAACAAACTCAATGTAATTTGCTGGGAGCATCCCCGTCCTCCCGGTTCTCTGCACAGTGCCATACATCCAGCCGTCGTCGATGGGCTGCACGTTGACAATGTAGTCGCCGTCCCTGAAGGAGACCTCATCTTCATCCTGGGCGCTGTAATCGTACATGGCTCTGTAGGTCCTCTGAGAAAGGAAGATGGGATTATATGATGAATTCCAAAATAGTACGTCCATGAACTCCAGTCACAACAAACCAACCCACACATAAAATATCTAATAGAAATGTTTCCAAGCACATTATTTCTGGAAATGGATGAACCAGAGCCTAGGGTCTAGCTGTGTTGATCTCAAGTGTACTAGTCTAGCAAAAAGTATAGTATTTGGGGGGGCAGATGGGGATAAAGAAAACCATTAAATAGACTAGCTGGCCAGTCAAAAAGTAGGCTTTGAAACAGTAAAGCCAACTGCCCCCAGCTTCAGATAATTTCAGAAACTTTAGATTCTCCATATTCCACATTCTTCAGAGAACAAAACCCACCACAGAGGCAGAGAGGTCCAAGTCCCACCTGGAAGAGGCAATAAACTTTTTAAATAGGTGCTAAGAATTTCTGTTTCCCCTTAAAAATATGTGAAACAAGTAAAAAAAAAAATCATACTCATTTTATAGATTTTTATATCGCACTGATAGAAATTCAGCATACAAATATTTTGAATATTGATGTATATATAATTACATCCTTGTTCTAATGAGGAAATTTTAAATTGAATTTTCCTATATTTGTTTTCTTTTAAGGCTAACAGTTTAGCTAATGTTAACATCAGACAACCTCAACATCAAGTGCATTCATAGACTGAGGAAACTGACTGGGACACAAAGAACTTTAGAGCAATTAAAGTTACCCTACAGCTTAGAAGAGTCACTTGTTTCTAAGTGTTCAGGCAAAGGCCGAAGAACTTTGTCAAGGGCTTGGAGAAGCAATTCCCACATAAGATACCAAGTGTGCCTAGGCAATCCCCAACACTGCTTCCAAACTTTACATTTAATGAATGAATAAGTACATCAAGATTTCCAATAGGGGATGTTGTAGACATATTTTGGCCATGTCATTTAGACTTTCATGGTCATTTTGACTAACATCAAAATTGTTTAATATAGGTTTAGTATCCCTAGTCTGAAAATGTGAAATCCTGAATGCTCCAAAATCCAAAACTTTTTAAGCGTCAACATGACGCTCAAAGGAAATGTTCATTGGGACATTTCGGATTTTGGGTTTTCAGATTAGGGATGTTCAACTGGTAAGTATAATGCAGATATTACAAAATCTGAAAAAATTTGAAATCCAAAACCCTTCTAATCTCAAGCATTTTGGATAAAGGATATTCAATTTGTATGGCCATCAAATACCTGTGCTTTTTAGGCCTAAAAGAAGACCATCATTGGCTAATACCAATCATGAAGTAACAGGATATCGTACTGGCAGATTCATTGTATGTTTTATCGATCTATACAATGCTTAAGAATGCCGTCCTTTCTCAACAGTTTACCTCTGTAAGTTCTTTGCTTCCTTCAAAAGAGTCGCAAAAAATAGCAATGCATCATCATTTATCTTTATATGAAAATGCTCAATATTCAATTCCACTCTGCTCGTGCATTTGCATTTTGGAGGTGAAATGAGAAGACCAAATAAGAAGCAGCATTTCAACCTGACACTTACTAGATTTGGTGAGTGCTGCATGGACCTCATGGATGACACGCTGGTCTGGTGCATGTACCCATAGCCTTGGGAATGGCTTTGCTGGTAGGCTCCAGGAAGAACAGGTGCTGCACAATACACACACACACACACAGATTCCTTAAAGTTAGCCTCAAAATATCCCTCCCAAGTCCAAAGTGACTTTATGCTCCACTAGAAGCTTTTGAAACAAAATGCCATTTTCAGAGTCATGTGAAATGTGGATAGCAGTGTCATGAATGATCTCTAGATTAGTATCAATCTCAGTAATATATAGAAAATCACTTTAGCATGCAGTTAAAATAGACTTTAAATGTTTTTATTAGTCTATTGCAGATGCTATATGTTAAAACAACATAAACACACAACAAAAGTTTCCCATAATCTTTTAATCACAATCATGTTTTTATTTGGCGGTGTGATCCTTTTTTTTTTTTCTCCTTTTTGTCTTTTTTCGTGTCCGGCAACGGATCGCAACCCTCAGTGTCGCGCCCGTACCGGACCGGGACCGGCAACGGGATCGCAACCCTCGGTGTTGCGCCCACACCTCGCTCAGCCAGTGAGCGGGAACCAGTCTGTATGTGGGATCCGAACGCTTGGCAGGAGTGCCACTGCACTCCCAAGCGGCGCACTGTAGCAGTGCGCCACCAGGCCGGCCCGGTGGTGTGATCCTTTTAGGCATTTTCCCAAATAAAAATAAGAATTTGAAAGGAATTTAATTGGATTGCCAAACCAATGAGAGTATAAAGGTTTTCACAGGGTAGGTACTTCTTTTTTTTTTTTTTTTTTTTTTTGGCTGATTTTTTTTTAAGAAAGTGTAATTTTATTAATTTTTTTTTTACATGGTACTTCTCAATATTTTGAGACATACAATTGAATGTTACCTTTACAAAGATGGTAAATACAATATATGTTTAGCAACATATGTTTGTTCGGCAGTTAATAAAACGTCTATACTCTTTAAAGAAATCTTTATATAGCATATATAAATTCTCCATTTTATTTTGGCTGTAACTCAAAACTAAATAAGTCAGCTGAACATGTTACAAAAGCCTTGTAAACCAAATCATTTAAAGAATTTCATAAACATTATCCTTCTACATTAAAAAAAAATCGTATCAAAAGTGTTCACTCAGTCTGTGCTATCCTCACCACTAATTATAACATTCCAAAGGCATAGTTCCTGTTTTGAAGAACTCTGAATTCTAGAGAAGCCAACACAGAAGCTAGATTAAAACCCCACAAAATAGCAGACATATGCTTGTGTGTATTTCTCATGAGCATGTTTATGTATTTGTAACCCAGAAACATGGGCTATAAATGAGAATATTTTAGTAGTGTGCCCTTTGTTACATTCTGAATAATTACAATACATTAGTAAAACTTGCATGATATATGTGCTATAAAATAAAATAATTTGCCAATTTTGCTTATTCAGGTTGCGTACATAAAGAAATTGCAATGGGTTGACTTCAGCAGTACAGTTTTTATAATAAAAAAATAAGCAGATGTAATTATGGGTTGTTATGAATATTAATATTTTATAAATGGCAAATTTACTCTAATGATATGTGAGATCATCAAAACTTGAAAGAAGTTTCATCATCAGAAAATTACAAATCATTAATGTGTTCTCCAGATGATAACGATATTAGATTGAAAGGGGATTTTTTAAAAATAGTTCTTGAGTGAATTTATCTTACAATGTTGTTACAAATTGTGTTTCATGTCCAGATGTGGCATCAAAGAGAAATTGCCAAGATCTTCAGCTCGAATTGTAGTAAATATACTACAATTAAATTAAGTAAAGTTATTAAAACATCATTAGACATCAAATATTTCAGAAAACAGCACTTTTTAACATTAACAACTCAATTTAAATATTTAATGTCAAGGGTATTGTCAAAATTTACTCATGAAGAAAAAATAATGAAATTCCCATAAATATGCAGGCCCACTTAATTAATGAGTAAAAGAGTGTTAGAAGCTGGAAGCACTGACCATGTGCTTACTCACTCCCCAAGATCTCAGCAAATATTTATTAGTTCGTGGGTGCACAGGGCTTACTGCATTTTCTGTCACATAGAAAGCCTCCATAAATGTTGACAATAATGATCACTGTCCACTTTGTTCAAGGCATGCCAGGCATAAGAAGAGTGACAAAATCAACTGCCTTCCTAGAGCTGTGGTGGGCTGGGCACCTGGCCCTGTACCCAATTAAGGAAATGGCTCTGAATACTTAGGGCATTTCCAATTAAATGTGTAAATCAATGACTCAGACTGCATACCCATTGACCTAAACTGGTATTTAACCACTTAAACAAGTCATTTTTTCATTACTTATTACTTGGATCTATTTGTAAGTTTTGAAGATTAAATATAAACATCGGTATAAATCTACTTAAAAGTTAAATTCTAATCCATTGCTAGACTATTTTAACTATGAACTTTAAATTTTGATGTACAGAGTTAAGTATGACCATCTTAAAATATTTTGGGGAAAAAACCTTCAGGAAAGGACAGTAAAAATATGGAAAAATATGTTATTTCAGACTTTTATGTAACACATTTTCACATAGTTTGCATCACAATCCCAATTTAGTGTCAGTAAATAGTCACAATTCAAGAATGTTGCCTAATTTTCTCTAATTTTGGCTTTCAAAAAAAAGGTATATTTATGCCTACTCAATGGCTCATAACTGACCTTCAAAGGGAATGTGTAGCTACTGTCGAGTACAGCAAGAAAATAAAGTAATGTATTAGTCCTAAATATGTGTGGATTGGAGAGAGCAGGGGAGAGTTTTAAATGGGAAACCTTGAAATAATCCATCTCACCTTTACAGTTTCTCCTCATGTCTTTATTGACTATTCTCATTTCCTCTCTGGCCGCATTACTTAAAAAGTTCTTTTGGGGTTATGAAACATCGTTATTTACTTTATGCCTGGAGCAATAAAAGAGTTTTTAGGAAGCTCCTATTAGGGCCATGAAAAACTTAACTGAGAGCCTAGAGGAATCAACTTAAAAGCAAATGCCAATTTAATAAGAGGCATGAACATTGCTTTTCTGTTATGCTACACAAATGCTTTTTTGAAAACATAGGGAAAACAAGCAAGAGAAAATTTAAAGCAATGGCTGTGGAAATTAGGTTTATTAAGAATTTGTTTGAAACGTAGCTAGCTATTCCATGTATGAAATTTCTTCCATGAAAATATGGAATTCAGAGGATTTTGCAAAAAGCAAGATGTTAGGTTAATTTTACAACCAAACAAGGACTTCTTATTGCTTTACTAAACTCGTAGTCAGATTCTATTAGCATTGGTACAGATGGATGATGATAAAGGTATAATGGTTTTCCAACCCAAGAGTCTTAAGTTTGAGTGTTTGTCAGATTCTATTAGCATTGGTACAGATGGATGATGATAAAGGTATAATGGTTTTCCAACCCGAGAGTCTTAAGTTTGAGTGAATGGTTTTCCAACCCGAGAGTCTTAAGTTTGAGTGTTTTTTTTTTTTTATTTCAGTAACATTAAAGCCACAAAACAACAGCTTTCATTACCCTAAGGCAACAACAAAACACAGAAGTGTGACTCAACTTTCATTTCACATTGGTAAGATTTAACCAAAGGTCTAGAAGCCGACTAAAGCTCTAAGTGTTTCAGGCTCTATTTGAAATAAATGCTTATATTTATTTATAAAACCAAATGTCTCTTGTACTGCCCAATAACATTCTTCCATAAACAGACAATACTAATATTTTCTATTTAATGTTTATTCTTAAAACAAAAGGAGATAAAACCAAGATAAAGAAGTGGGTAGATATGAAGATCATAAAACAGAAGTTGAAAATGGAGGAAGACGATATTTTTAAGAGGTTTAACAATCTGAACTGCAAAAGGAGGAAATACATGTAAATATACAAAGATTAGAGTAAATGAATCGCAGAACTGCACTCACAATAGAGGGAGGAAAGTATCCAAAAAGAAACCCACTTTGGGGGATGTCCCCAGAGTAGGTGAAAGAGAAATGAGTATTATTTGTGTCCTCCGTGTACATGGTGCTTTGTTTGTTGTCATTTAATTATCACGGCTGTCTAAAATAGGTTCTGTTCCACTTTACAGAATTAAAAAAAACAACAGTCTGAGAAACTAAGCAGGAAGGCACCAGAACAATTATCTCTGTGGAGTAAAGGCCACAGTAAAGGTCTCAAGCCACTAAAGACAAAGTGGAGGCCTTGAAAACTGCACAGTAACTACAGAGCTTCAGTAGATGGCCAAATTCTGAATGCCAAAAAAAAAAGAAGGAAGGACTTTATTGACTAACTATAAATACAACGTGAACAGAGAAAATAATTTTGGAGTTTTTCTTATAGGCTTTCTTTTTTAACAGTCCAGAATAAGGTAAAAAATCACGCTTCAGACCTTTCCACTAAAGAGTAAAGGATACAATAAAATTTTTGTCATATTTTCTAACATTTGATGCTGTTTTTATCAGCTAGTGCATGTCAAAGACCTTAATGAGGTTTTGTTTTTGGTTTTTAGACAAAGAATCTCTATTTAGGTAAACAGAGCGAAATTTCTAAAACAGAAAGTATGAAAATGCTGCTCATTTTGAAGTAAATATTAAATAGTGAGTTAGATCCTAACCAGATGCCAGGGAGTCCACGAGCAAGGTGGCTGAGCTCATCTTTTGCTCAAATAGCTCTTAACACGTGTCATTAAAGTTTCATGTCGCAGCCTCAAGTCCTCGTGGCATCGATTCTCCCCACAAACTGTTAAGTGGGAACTAAATCCACAAAACTGATGCCTAATCCAGCAACAAGATGCTATTTTTTAATCTGAGAGAATTCTTAGCACTGTAGAAAATTCATTTCCTTTCCTACAGAAAACAGAAACAAGCTGATTGCCTCTAGGTATTGGTTTGTTGGTTCTGGATAAACTGTGAACAGACAACTGCCTAAGAAACAGGCTTGCTGCAGAACAAAAATAAAAAAGACTTTAACATAAAAATGAAATGACGACGTACGACTGAGTTAAAGCTACCAAGTGTTAAAGTCATGCCTCATCATCATGGCGATACAAAACAATTGCT